TGCTGCGCTCGTGCCAAACGCCTAACCCTACTTATAATTGGGGTAACCCCTATAAGCCCATTTAGGGCGATTATAATTAAGGTGATAAGCCCAAATATAAGCAGCTACTAAGTCACATGGGGCTCCAAGTAGGGTTTACTGTAGGGCTTATACCCTAAGGGCCCATGTACATAATAATCATATACTTACTCAAGACCTGTACCAGAATTCCTATTACCCTAAACCCAAGTACCTGATTACTGGGTACTTGGACCCTTTGGATTAGGGTTGAACAAAGTTTAGGTACTAGCAAAATCATGTCTAAGCTCTCTCTCTCTCTCTCTCTATATATTATTATATAGATATGTACATATGTACGGCCCACACGTACATTGAAAATGTCTGAAACAATAAAGAGCTGACATGAGATTGTATTGGATCCAAGTGCAGAAGGCATGCAAAAAAAAGCTTTCCAACAAGGGCCAAGCGACGTTGTTCCTAAGCGCATGCTCTCCCAGGCGAGGGACCTCAGAAAGGAAAAGCTGCATCATGGCCGCAACTTCGTCAGGGTCCCGCTTCCAGTTCTCCGTGGAGAAGGCGAAAACCTTTGTTGCGCAGATAGGGATGGGAAAGGCCAATAGGGTGTAGGGTTTACCATGCTCCCACCTCCATTGAACTGCATGAAGCCTAAACCATGCATCCTGTAGTAGTTTTCCACTTCCTTTCCACTCCCCTATATCTCGGTAAAACCTTCAACCCTGAACCACGCAATCCCAAAACCCAGAATCCTAAACCCAGGTAACACCTTAAACCCTGAAGCATTGAATCCCCAAATTCAGCAAGACCAAGAGGTAGTTTCCCTAAACTACTGTTCCCAAAATGGGGGAAATCTATATAGGGCCCGTATTATAATGGGAACCTACATATAGAACCCCGTATTGACAGTAATTTAGGACAATCCCCAAGAGACTGTCAGGTACTCCACGCCCAGCTCTGCCTTATCTGTGGTTAGTTAAAAAATGGGAGGCGAGGATCTGGGTTTAGGGTTTAGGGTTTACTCTCTTCCCCAATAACCAGGGCTAAACAAGGTTGAGCTTGATGATAGAGACCCGACAGGGAAGCCCAACAAAGGTTAAAGTTCTTCTATTGGCTCAGTAGGTGTATTGTTAATGGTTTGAGGGCTTCAGGTTTGGCGTTTGGGGCTTAAAGTTAAGGGTTTGGGCTTTGTGGTTTGGCTACAGCTGGTCCACGTCATCGTTGATCCTAGCTGTATGTTTCTATTCTCTAAATCCCGGAAAGTGTGGACAACCTATCTTTCAATACTGCCTGAATAAGGACCAAGGTAGCGACTCTAAAAAAGTAGGCACCAGGGATCACTGTAGGATTCATGCCTGCGTTGCCTACTAAGCCCGCCTGGACCCCAAAGCAATTCAAATAGCAGCTTCTGTGTCCTTGCCCATTCGCTACGAACTACCCTGAACACAAAGTTCAGAATCAAGTAATGAGTTGTTTTCATTCCCTACCATCCCAAAACCCCAACCCTATCGTTTAACCACTATCGTAGGTTCCATTCTTTTTTTTGTTTGTTTTCCGTTCCTTTTCCTTGTGGCTCCAAAGCTGTATATCAAATCTGCTTTGAACTATTTGGATCCATCGGGCTTGCGCACCAAACCTACACCCAAAACCCAAGGGCATTAAGCCACCAGTCCAAAGCAATTACAGCAGGGGAGTTGCCATGTAGGGACCTTACAGAAGCCTTGCTTACCCCTTATAGAAACTTCCCGCAGAAAAACTCACCTGCCCTGATGGTATAAACCCTACACCCTAAGCCCTAGATCGTAACTGCTAAACCCTGCAGCCCTACATCCCCTGAACCCTAAAACCTCCTGTATGCCTGATCCTTAAAAAGCATGTAAACCAATAGCTGCGAATCCCTGAACCTGCCAAAAAGACAATCATTCTACATACTTTTGGGGTTCAGGTATCCTAAACCCTACACCCTGAAACCCTCAAAACCTACAACCCTAAAACCCTAAAACTTTCTCTGTTTGGGCTTCAGGTAGGCGACGCTCCATGAAATGAACTCCCGCAGCTTCTGCCCACCAGCTCGGTGCCTAGGAGTTGAGGGATTTGGTTGGGGTATAAGGATTTGGGATTTTTATTTAGGGTTTAGGGTTTAGGGTTTAGGGATTTAAGGTTTAGGGATTTAGGCTTTAGGGATTTAGGGATTTGAGGTTTAGGGTTTTGGGTTTTAGGGATTTGGGATTGTTGGGGTTGGCTTTGGGATTTGTGGTTTTCAGGGTTTAGGGATTTAGGGTTTAGGGATTAAGGATTTAGAGTTTTAGGGTTTTAGGGATTCAGGGAATTAGGGCTTTCGGAATTCTGGGTTTAGGGTCTGAAGCTTTAGGGTTTTTAGGGATTTAGGGTTTTAGGGGATATATACAAGAACCCCTAACCCTGCGCTCTAGTTTGGGGGAGAGGAGGGGAGGTTAGGCCTCTGCCCTTTCATGACATGACGCTTCCTAAGCTTTAAACCCTAAGAGCTTGCTTGGGAAGGCTAGGAAGTAGGTGGTCTAAACTCCTTAAAGGTGCATATATAGTATATAGGGGAGGGGGATTCTAGGAGTTTAGATTATAGCTCATATCAGGGACCCTAAACCCTAAACCCCAAACCCTAAACCTTAGGTTAGGTGGGATGCGGGCTTCAGGGACTTGGGCTTAGGCTTTAGGGCATGGGGTTCAGGGTTCAGCTTTAGGGTTCGGAGCCTAGGATTCATAGAGCTGAGGGTTTAGGGCTTATGGTATCTTGGGTTTAGGGTTATCGTAGGCTTCCGGGTGCGACCCCAAATACATTGCTGATATCTCGAAATGCTCCGTCTATTGGCACTCACAAAGGACGACCATTTCCTTCAGAACCTATAAGACGTACAGCCCCAAAATTACACCATTTTCATTGAAAACTTGCTTTGGCAAAAACCCTAAACCCTAAACCCTGAACCCTGAACCGAACCTTCAACCCTAAACCCTGATCCCTAAGTCCTGAACCCTAAACCCTGAACCCTAAACCCTGACCCCTAAAGCCTGAACCCTAAGCCTAAATCCTAAATCCTAAACCCTGAACCCTAAACCCTTCAACCCTAAACCATAAACCCCTAACGGAGCCTAGATGCCCACTAAGTGCATCACCGTGAACCTGCCGTCCGAAGCGGCGGTTGCCATCCTAGGCTGCTCTTTAATATTTCTATAGGTTAGGGTTTAGGGTTCAGGGTTTAGGGTTTAGGATTTAGGGTTTGGGGTTTCGGGTTTGGGGGTTGAGAATTTAGGGTTTGGGGTTCTAAACTTACTTGGAGGGTCAGGGGGACTGAATAAGTAGGCTAATTGCAATGATACCTAGAGTTCCTGTATGGCTTATAGGCGTTATAAATGTACTTACTAAATCCTCCCGACCCTCCACGTACCGTTGTATAAGCCTTATGTTAAACCCTTTCTATTGCTAGATAATCCCTCAACCCGAACCTCTAATCCTAAGCCCTGAACTAAAAAAATCTAAACCCTGAACCCTACACGCTAAACCCTAAGCCCTAAACCCTAAACCCTAAGCCCTAAATACTAAGCCCTCAACCCTAAACCCTAAGCCCTAAACCCTAAACCCTAAACCCTAAAACCACCAAGCATCCATGATCACTGCGACATGCCGAGGTCCCCGAACCTTGGCTTCCTTCACAGCTTGGACTGCCTGGAGCGTTCTGAAATCCTTATAGGGGTCCTTTAGGGGTCATATAAAGGGTTTAGGGTTTAGGGGTTTAGGAGTTAGGGTTTTGGGGTTTAGGGTTTAGGGTTTAGGGGTTTAGGGTTTAGGGTTTGGGGTTTAGGGCTTTAGGGTTTAGGGTTTAGGGGTTTGGGGGTTTAGGGTTTAGGGCTTAGGGTTCAGGCCCAATACCCCTTGATTAAGGAATGTGGCCTAAATGGTGGGGTCTAGGGTTTGGGGAAAAGGGTTTAGGGTTTAGGGAATTTCAAGGTTTAGGGTTAAGGGAATGAATGTACCCTAAATGGTACTGGGTTCCTTAGTATGATGTAAGCTTTTTTTTCTTAATTAATAAGGGGTGTAGGGCTCCCTGGGTCCTACTTGGAGGGTCTGGGGGACTCAGCAATTATACTTCTAACCCCTCAAGGACATGTATTGGCCGCAGGTATCAATATCATTAACTTATTTATTGACACCCCTGACCCTTCAAGTAAATCGTAAACCCAACATGCAAGTCTAGAGTTACGGTTAAGGGTATGCGTTTAGGGTTTGGATTGTGGATTTTTTTTTGGGGGGGTTCCGAGTTTGGGGCAAGGAAATGTGGATACAGGAAATATTGCTTCACTCAAAATGCGTTCTACCCTAGGAACTATACAGCCGTTTTTGCAGTTTCTGAGCGGCACGGATGCCCCTGACATCACCCTACGCGCGCCTAGCTATTCTACAGTGCCATATTTCCCAAACCTAAGCCCTAACCCCTAAACCCTAAAACACTAAGCCTTATGAACCCTAAACTCTAAACCCTCAACCTTTGCATATCAAAAAGGAGCGAAGGGATTTATTTGAGAACCTCAGGCCTTGGCTTTCGTGTCATCACCTGAGCAGCCCATACTGAGCCAAGGGTTTAGGGTTTAGGGTTTAGGGTTTAAGGTTTAGGGTTTAAGGTTTAGGGTTTAAGGTTTAGGGTTTAAGGTTTAGGGCTTTGAGGGCCTAGGGGTTTAGGGGTTCAGGTATCATTACTGTACCATACCCTGAAACCCTGAGTACCAAAAGCTTAACCACTCAATCCCCTCCTTAGAACCTTAAACCCCAAATTGAAAACCGCAAAACCCGACAATGAGAACCCAACCAGCAAAAAAACAACAAATCCCGAAACCCTAAAACCCTAGGCACGCCAACCCCAAAAACTAGAATGCAGTCTTCAAATTGGACCTGCTTTAAACCCTAAACCCTTTCACGCAGTACCACTACTTGGGGCCATCGGCATCCCAAGGGCTACGAAGCAAACCCTGAAACCTAAACCTTAGACCCTAAAACCTTTAGGGTTTAGGGCTTTAGGGTTTAGGGAATATGGCTTTGGGTATATTATAATAAGATCCCCACATACCCCATGTTCTGTCTACTTAAGGGTTTAGAGTTTAGGGGCTAGGGTTTAGGGTAAAGCCCTAGAACCCTGCAACCCTGGAACCCTTCTTATTCCCCCCGCTCCTGCCGGAGAAGAAAAAACTTAAACCCTAAACCCTCAGCCCTAATACTGTTAGCCCTAAACCCCTAGAGCCCTAAACCCTAAACCCCATAGTCCCCCTTAAGTAGATGGAACATGGGATATGTGGGGATCTTTTTATAATATACCCAAAGCCATATTCGATCTACGTCAGGGGGACCCTAAACCCTAAACTTTAAATAGTAGTCTCCATGTTCTTTTCCAGTATCCCTATATGACCCCAAATAACCCTATAGTATACCTTATCATAACCCTAAGCCCTGTCTTCTATCTACTTAAGTGGGACTATACCCTAAACCCTA